ATTGCCTGTCTTTGTGGAGCTGTGCAACAAAGGAAGATTTGACCAAAATGCAGAACATTCTACGTAATCATGAGAGAGACAAGGTGGGTGAGGTAATACCATTTATTGGACCAACTTCTGTTGGTGAGAGAGACAAGCTTTTGATCTTACACAGAGCTCTTCTTCTGGTCTGGAGAATGTACTTAGAGTGTCTGAGTGAAATACAAGGTGGAACAGATTGTTTAGCATAAGTAGTTAACTCATAACAGTACTTATCCTAAACAATCTGTTCCACCTTGTATTTAGCTGTGACACTGAGTACATTTCCCAGACCTGAAAAAGAGCTCTGTGTTAGCTTGAAAGCTTGTCTCTCTCACCAACAGAATTTGGTCCAATAAAAGATATTACTTTACCCACCTTGTTTCTCTAATATACTGGAACCAACACGGCTACAACACTGGTTGTAATCATGGGCAGCTGAAAAGTCTGAATGTGCGTTAAATTTATTAATATGCTATAGTGTGATACTGGCATTGAAATTTAGCATGTGTAAGATTTCTGCCTTAGCATCCTAGTAGAGAGAGTTGGAATTTTTGTTTTGCACTTGATAGAGCATTTGTTTGCCAGCTCTGTCCGCAAATATTAACAGCAATACTAAGGAAGACTTGTATTTGTTAGAAACCATAGGATCTTGTGCCAAAATATGGTTTGAGTTGACTCTCTTCTGAAGCTTTTCTGAATGCAACTTGATTTCTCTTCTGTGCATAAAAAGGTGAACAGTGATGTAAGGTGAATAGTATCTACTGTGGTATCTTAGCTTACCTTGAAAGCCCACAGGAGGGAGAGATCTATATTCCCATTGGAAAAGATCTCTCCTCCATGTCACTGCTGTTTTCAATAAACAGCCGCTTTATCACAATTTCATTGACTTTTTGCAAAATCTCACAATGAGAATAGATGGTACATCCATTTCTGCATTGCTTCTATAGTATTTGGAGGTTGCAAGCTTTATTTTCACCTCTGCTTTCACATTCAAAGTTCGTCCAAAAAGGCTGCATTATATCCACAGTACAGACATTGGTCCCCAACACAGTTTGGGTACACTGTATATCCCAAGCCATAAGTAGGGTTGCCAACTTTCTAATTTCTGAAAACTGGACACTACAACAGTAGCACCGGAACCTCCCCCTGCCCTGCCTCTTCCTTGAGGTCCCGTCCCAGCTCACCTCTTCCCTCGAGGCCCCACCCCAATCGCTCATTGCTCTTCCCCTCCCCCATCGCCCCTTCCTCTCATCCTCCCCACCTTCCAAGATGGGCTCCCTCGACTCCCACGAGATGCAGGTAGGAGGCAGCCCTGGCTGATGACCCTGTGCCTCCCACCCACCTGCGGTAACTAGACTTTTAGTGTCAGGTTAGTACATCTGACTGGAAACTGAACAGGTCCCTTTTCGACTGGACTTCTGGCAACTCTAGCCATAAGTGATGTTTGTTGCTCAGTAATTGCAGCACATGTTCTTATCTGCCTGACAGTGACTTGGATGATGGTTTTTTTGCTTGGATTTGGAATTCAACAAGAAGTAAGGTGGCCTGCAGAGTTTAGTTGGAGGCTGCAAAGGCCTAGTGCTGTAATGAATTAGATGAAGGGTTTAAAGATTACAATGTAAACATCACTTTCTGTTTAGAAAAGTGACCAGCTACATTGGGCTTTTGCATATTGCTATCTAAATAGCACTTCAAAGCTGCTAACTTGTTGAGTAAATATATAAAAGGCAAAGGGTTCACCAAGACCATTTCTTCCCTCCCCTGCACACAGCAGATTTGGGGTTTGATCCTGAGAATTGCTGAACACTTGCTGCTCCTGTTTGAAGTAATTGGCTATTTTGTTGCTGCCTTCAGTGGGAACAGGATCAGGCCCATTGACTTCATGGGAATCTACCTCAGGACAGCATCCCAACTGCCCTTCAGAGTAAGAGGGGCAGGATCCTTGGAGCTTGTGAAAGGGTACAGATTCTAGGGCAAAGTGCTGCCCAAGTTTCTGTGGGTGGGCCTGGAGGATTTGCAACTACATTAACTCACTGGCCCTTTGTTTCTGCCCTTGTGCAGAAGGTAGCACTTCTGGAGTGAGACTTCAGCTACTCTAAGGACTGCTCTGCTACATGTGATTGGGGGGACACTCTCTTCACCTCTGTGTGAAAAGCACTTGTTCAGATCTCCAAAAACCTTACAGATTCAAGATTTCGCCACATATTGCATGATGATAGCAATCTAATCCAAATCTCCTAAAAATGTTTTGGTAATTTTTTTTTAAATAGAGAATTGCATGGCTACATTTGTTGATGTAGTGGCTAAACTAGGGTTACCATATTTAAAAAATAAAAAAAGAGGACACTCCACGGGCCCTAGCCCTGCCCCTTCCCCACCCCCAGCCCCGCACCAACTCCACCCTTTCCCTGCCCCTTCCCCAAAGTCCCCGCCCTAACTCCCCCTCCTCCCTCCCAGCCACGCGAAAAGGGCTGCCCGAGCGCTACCGGCTTTACGGTTTGTCGGGCAGCCTCCAGACCCTGCGCCCCTGGCCGGCGCTTCCCTAGCGCAGCTGGAGCCTGGGAGGGGAAGTGCCCGGCCGGCATTTTCCCGGACATGTTCGGCTTTTTGCCATTTCCCCCTTGACGGGGGTTTGATTGCCGAAAAGTCGGACATG